GACAAAATTAACACATCCACCTTTAACATGCTGTGGTTGCAATAACCCTGGGTTTAAGGCACAATGCCCCAATTGCAACAGTGCTGCTGAAAACAAGAATTAGCTGTCAAAAATACCCAACTGTATCCTTGCACATCAACATTAACTCCAGCAGTTGTCCTCAAATTAAAAGTAAGTAGAACTTAGAGAATGACGTGTTGAGGGTGCAGCAAGGCATTCGAACCGAAGGGAAATTTTATGCAACTATTCTGAGACACATCTGATGACGACACCTGCAAATGGACACCAATGTAATGCAGATGTTTATGCAATCACTCTAAATATTCAACTAAAAGAAGGAGTTTTAAAACTAAGCTCATTGTGTTGCGAGAGAGCCAAAGGAAGGATTTCTTTCAAAAAGCTGGGATTGGTCTAAATTTTTAAAAGTGCTAATGTTTCTTTTTGCTGAAGAAGCCAATCTTAAATATCTTGAAGATGTGTATCTCAGTGCTGATATTAATTCCTGTCTTTATAGGAAGAACAAAAGCACTTAACTGAAAGGCAGAGGAAAAATTTTAATGACCTTTGAGGAAATATGAGACTGTGCTCCAGAGCAAGAAGCACCTCCTAATGCTGAATACAAAATAAAATTCTGGTGAATGAAACTGCTCCCAAGCTTTAGTCAGAAATCATCAGGACACTGATATGTAGCCAAAGCTTTAAAATGCTTGATGATCAGTTATTTGGTCAGCTACGCAAAAAAAAAAAGTATGAGAAAAAATGAATTTTCGCTGTTTTGGATCATGCCTCATAATGGCTCGAGCTCTTTACTGTACGTACTGTTGTCGCAAAAGATTGTGCAGCTACTTTAATCAAAGAGGTTTCTGTAAGATATGGGTTGTATCAAAAGATAATCTGTGATAATGAAATTCAATTCAGTAGTGCTGTCATGCAGCAAATATATTTTCTCATGAATAGCAAATGCTGTAGACTGAAAGAGTCATCTGAAACCTAGATTGGCCATGCTTGTGGGACATGAACATTCTTGAGTAAAATTGCTACTGACAATTTGTTTTGCAATGAATACCTGTAAATGTGAAACCTCCAGCCAAACATACCTCCATTTTGGAAGAGAACAACATGTGCCTGATGATATTGTGCACGTTCTTTGAATATGGTCTTCAGTGATAATTCTGTAGCCGAAATTACCCCTTATTTGAAAAGATTTGCCATCACAGTCAACCAGGTAATGGAACTGGTTGAAAAATAGTAAGATTATTGGGAACACTGTGCTGTTAAATCTTGAAGACCTAAATACCAATTTAAACCTGGAGATTGAGTTTGGATTTCTAAGCTGTCTGTGAGTAAAAATTTACTGATCAGAAAATGCCCAAGTTTATGCCTCATTGAGATGATTCCTACATTATTATGACTTGGTGTTCAATACCTACCTATGAAGCTTCAAATCTTGAGTGATCCATATACTTTTTCAGGTGTCTATCATTCCTCAGCCCTAAGACCTTGCTTTGACTCAAATGTGTCAACTCTTCATAAAAGGAGACATTCCAAAAGATTTATTGCTGGTTTCCTATCAGGACTAACATTGGAGCCAATATCTGCCGAAAATATCGCAGACGAAAACGGCGTTGTACGAAACATCGTGGGAGAAAAGAAAGCAAAGAGAGAACCTCGCAGTACTAAAACATCCTGGTGCAAAATGTGATGATCGGGGAAAAAAAGCAGTTAAAAAACTTCGCATTTTAAAAACATCATCATCAACAATATCATGGGAAAAAATAAAGTACCTATAAATCATCGCACACATGGGTTTTTCAGGCTTCAAAAGTTGTAATTCGCATAATACTTTGGGAGCGCAAGAAGAAAAGGGAGAATTTTTTACTTCTATGTTTCATATTTTTGCAGGAAGAGAGATTTTTGCCGAAAAGATAAGAAGGAAACTTAAGTATTTAAAAACTGAAAACGAGTAGAAAATTAATTCAACCAATGACATGTCATACCTTGAAAATTATATCTTGTTTTGTTTCCATTTACTCTTAAAGTGTCATTGACAGTACAGTGTGCAGTCAGCTATTTGGATGTTGATTTGTTAGTTTTAGGAAAATCATGAAAATCTCATTCAACCGCCCTCATTCACCAGATCGAAATCCTAATATTCAGCGACTTTACCGCTTGGGTACTGATGGCCACTTCAGCAGAGGAATATTAATGGATAGTAGTTCTTTTTTACTTCAGTTATTGGAAGACTCAAATTTAAAATTATACTCGGAAAATTTAAACGCAGGCTTTTTTTTTTTTTATAATACGAGGGTAAGTTGAAAAATAAGTTTCCCCTGTCGACTGTGGTCAGAGTTGTGTATGAAAGTCAAAAAATAGAATGAGACATTAAAGATATGACATACCTTTTTTTTTTTCCACATAGGTACCAAGTACATTGAGACATTTGTCATATCGCTTGATAAGCTTAAAAAAGCCCTCCAGGAAAAAATCAGGGCTTTGCATATGGAAGAAGCGTTGAGCGGCTTGTTTCACTTCAGTATTGCTTCCAAAGCGCCTTCCCCCAAGATTTTTCTTCAAAGCCGGAAACAGATGGAAGTTGCTTGGTGCAAGATCAGTACTGTATGGCGGATGGTGTAGGCGCTTCCAACCAAGAGTTGCAATATGGTTTTGTGTTGTCGTCGCCGAATGTGGTCTGGCATTGTCATCCAACAGCAGAACGCCAGATGTGAGAAGGCCAGGCCGCTTTTTCCGAATCGCCTCTTTCAATTTCGACTGGGTGTCACAGTAGCGCGTAGCATTGATGGTTCCAACCTCCAAAAATTCCAGCAACAAAACTCCTTGGGCATCCCAGAAAACTGTGAGGAGCACTTTACCTGCAGAGGGAGTTGTCTTGAACTTCTTTTGGACATGTGATGACGGATGTTTCCACTCCATAGATGCGGCCTTCGATTCTGGCGTGAAATGGTGGAGCCACGTTTCATCTCCCGTCACAATCCGAAACAGAAAGTCATTGCCATCTTCATGGTAACGCACGAGATGTTCCAGGCTGACCCCCCCCCATGCGTTGTTCCTTGTGCGTCGAGGTCAGTTGTCGGGGCACCCATTGTGCTGACACTTTTCTGTATCGAAGAATGTCGTGGATGATGTTTAGAGCTCGCTCATGTGAGATTCCAAGTTCTTCCGTTACTTCATCGATGGTGATACGCTGGTTCGCTCTAATCATGTCATCCACCTTCCTGACATTTGCATCTGTATTGGCCGTGCGTGTCCGTCCAGCTCTCCGTATGTCCTCCACTTGCTGACGTCCATCACTGAATATGCGACACCATCTCCGCATGATTTGCTTCGACATCACACCTGGCCCATAGACTTCCACAAGGCGGTTATGAATTTCTGTTCCTGATACTTCACGTGCCCATTCATAGCGGATAACCGCTATCACTTCCTCTCCTTTGACCACAAATTCAAAACGCACCTTCTCTCCATACCTACCGGGACTCAAATGAGAGGCTGGTCTCCACTTTGCGCAGGCACTGCAACAGCGCCATCTGCTTGATTTGCAGTGACCTCTACCCAATGGTGTATTGGTGACTTGCGCGTTTTCCTGCTGTGTCGCCTTTCGCCCATAGCCGTTCAATGCTTCCATATGCAAAGCGTGAATTTTTCTTGGAGGACTTTTTGAAGCTTATTAAGCGATATGACAAATGTCTCAACATACTCGTACGAGAATAATAAAATAAAGTTATGTCATATCTTTAATGTCTCATTCTATTTTTTGACTTTCATACACAACTTTGACCACAGTCAACAAGGGAAACTTATTTTTCAACTTACCCTCGTATATATAATTTCTGTGAACACTTCTCGGATATACTGGTATCTCCATAAGACAACCAGTGTTTCTGAGAACAGAAATAAACATAGGTTGTAATCGTTATGGAAGATGATTGCATCTACACAAGTTTAAAAAGATATGGTGGGAGCCTGAGTGGTTAAAGAATAAAGGATATATCTAATGGCTAAGGCTTTGAAAACTTTTTTGGAATCTGAAATACATGATTCATTCTTCAACGAATGGAGTAAAAAAGAATTGACAAATCGCCTTTAAAGCAACCACTCAAGATTCCGTATGTTTTTAGTCTTGCGTAAATGTGGTTATCTTTCATAATGATTAAAACCTATGTATATTTACCACGATATTATTGACAGCGGTGTTTTCAAACTATGAAGGTTTTTAACTACTTTAGTTAAAAAAGTTTACAACAGTTTTTTAACTGCTTTAGTTAAAAAAATTTTAGTTTCAACCACAATGTTTTACAACTGTGATGTTTTCTCTTTGCTTTCTTTTCTCCCACAATGTTTTGTACCAAGGTGTTTTTGCCTGGAGTTGTTTTCTCCACAATGTTTTTGGCTGTAACTATTGGGACTAGAGGGAATGGGTGTATTGAACCAAAAAATATGTAACTTTCTATCCTGATTTTGAGGTTGGACTGGTTGAAGAGAATTTTCTGTCTTCTCTTCTGAACTCTAAACCACCACTGGCAGAAGATGCAAAAGAAACTTTTAAATCACTCTGGAGATGTTATTCTGTAAAAATTTGTAATCCTTCCTTTCACCCATCTGTAGTTTTATGTTCTTTTTCTATTTGTTTTATGTTGTATTTCTCAAGTAAATATTCTCAAATTATTTGTGGAGTCATGGAAGGAAATTCCCTTCCCATGCCACATTGGTAGTTTTCTTTTCAAGTAGTCATTCATATTTCACTTACGCATAACAAGTATAAATTATGTCATTTTACAAAGTCTTTGAAAGATTGTCCTATAAAATATACAGCTTTGTTATTGTTAACAACCACTGTTTTTAATTTTTTGTTTAAATTTATCATTTGGTAAAAAATATTTGCATTTAGGTATGACATTTATGTGCAATATTATTTCAAACTTCCATTGATCACCAGTGAATAGATAACACCTTGATGTTAACTCTGAATAACTTTTTGACAGAAAGAAGCTGTAACAGTTGATGCAGATTCAAGTTCTATTGCTGATTCTACCATAAAGGAAATTCTAATAGATAAAGCTCCAGTGTTAGAAGATGTGGCTGAACAATGTATGTTAGCAGAAAGTAAATTACATATTTCTGTTTTATTATTATATTTTTATGTCATGTTTATGATCTCCATGTAATTGTATTTATGTGTCAGCAGCTATATGGTCACATTTGCCATCATAACGAAAAAATGTTTAACATAAAACATTAAACTAATTACGTGTTGGACTAAACCAAATTGACAGTGGGTTCTTGAATTTTCATCTGTACTTTTCTTTAATATTTTTGTAATTAGCTGTCTTAAATAATATTCACCCACCAACAAGCAAGTGGTAAAATTGCTGAATACTTGAAGTTCCAACCTGAGTTTGATTTTAGACGAATGTGCTGGCTGCATGGCCATTTTCATTATTTCTCCTGTGTTTAATGTGTATACAAGCCAGTTTCTCTTAGAAATTTATCCACAGAGGAATCGCTCGTTTTAGACAGGTAGCCTTACTATGCTTTGCCATAATAAACTAAACCAAACCAAGCTTAAATAATATTCTGTTTTCATATGCGTTTTGAAACAAAATGGTCCTTTTGCAGTGTGTGTGTAATAAATTTTAAGCAATGTAATTTTTCTTTTCTAAAATGTACTATTTTTATAAATTAAATTGTAATGTTCTACTTTTGAGTGCAATTCTGAAATGTTGGGGATTCCTCTGTGCATCCTCACATATGCATGTTCTTGATTATCATTTTTTTTCCTCTGCTTTAAGCTGTTTTGAAATATATCTTGACTATCTGATGAGATGGTGAAGAGTGTAATAATAGCATTCAAAACCCAAAGTAGACAGATTTCTAGTTACAGTTTTCAGTTAGAAAACATACACAAGGTATTTCTTATGGTTCCAGTGGCGCAACAATATAGTAACAACAACAATTACAAAAGTACAAAGACATATTTTATCCACAAGTGGTTACACTTTTAATGCACCTCCTGAATACTGATAAGTCTCTGTACAAAAGAAAATATAAGAGGTGGTTTTGAGTGAGAATGAATACCATAAATGGTGGCAAATGTTTTAAATCAAATATGCATGCTTTGACTAAGGTTAGTAAGTTTTTGTAGTGGCATTGCTAATTCCTCAGTATGTGCTGTTTGAGTTGCCAGTAGGTGCAGTAACATAGCAAGATATTTGTTTAGAGCTTCCAAGATTAGTTCAGTGTGATCAGCATAGAGGTCTGATAACTGGTCAGCCCATTCGTTCAGTGTCACTACTTTGCAATGGTATATCAACTGCTAAGGGGTGTTCCATAAAAAATGCAACTTTTGATATGCCCACTCTTTCTGTTCTAGTCAGTTGGCAGCACTAAACATTACGCATTTTTCATCAATTGTCTTTATGGTTAGTAGGAATGCAGCTATGGCCGTCATCTGTTCTCTGTACAGGTAGGAATGAAGTATTTCATGATGGAATAGCTTGCTGTCATAGTTAAAGCTTATTACAAATGTGGTGAATGTTGTGCAGAGACGTAGAATTTTTGGGCCAATGTAATGCACTGAATAAGTCGACTGTGATGAGACTGATTGTTAAATTGGATGAAACCAGCTCGGTTATGAATATGAAACCTTTGGGTCATCCTTGTGTTAGTTGTTTGGGGGGGAGATCACCATTGTGAATAATAATGTTGCTGTAGGTCTGGTGGCATCTACTCACCATTGGTCACAACAGTTGAATGCAGCCCATTCAGATCTTGTGATTTGACACTGCATGATATCTTTCTGTGGTGGGGGGGTCAGTATTTGAAATCTCATGTATATGCCAACAAACCACAATCATTTCCAAAACTCAAGGTGAGTTTTATCATGTAATTTCAGATTACAGGTGTAAGTATGCTGAAAAGTTACGGAAAATTTCATTAAAAAAAGAAAACGAGTATACCTGCAGAGTTGTAGAAGGCATTTGAATAATATCATATTTCATACATAATCATAGGTAGCACACAGGGCAAAAATATGTAAATTACTTAATTTCATCAATAAATTTGTATGTGATGCACTCAGAAGTTGCATTCCTTATGGGACACTCTTTGCAAGCCCATATTGTGTTTTCATCATTCATAAATTCAAGGTCATTAGTGCCTTGAAACAAATTTTTCTGAAGCTGGATTATCTCATTTAAGTAGCCTTCACTTCTGAATGCACCATTTTTCATTCTGAATTTAAATCCAACCTAATGCCTCTACAGACAAGGAAACCTTGATTGCCACATCAGTCTTAGTAGTCTTAGTAACATTTGCAGGGTGATATCACATGCCAAACTCTTGCCAGATTAGCTGATGCCCAGAATCATATCTGTGGCTGAGTCTATAAGAAAAAGTACCTTTCCATTATGCAGTTTTTGTGTTCGTTGCCCTCTCATAAGAGATAGTAGTGGACTTGTGTTAACAGGATACAGTAATTGCTGCTAAGCAAACAATCTTACCTTTATGGAATTGTCTAAAATCCCATGTTTTTAAGCAGTTGTTCGAGATTCTTTATTTCATTCATCTTGCCAGTGAGCAGCCAAGTTTTATGTTCTTCCTAGAAACAGTTTAGAAAACTGCAATGTTTTGTCATAGTTTATGTCTGCAGAAAATGTAAAATAATCATGTACTTTTCAAAAATCATACACAGATAACTTTCCTTCTGTAATTTTGTAAAGGAAATTCAATATTGCAATGCATATCGATCATCATTGCAACTTTTTGATTTTGCACAGTGGAACGGCTAATATTCTTAAACGTGTGCATACATGAGGACAATGTGAGTTGTATTGGGAAAAAATTTAATTTTTTCTGGGGAAACAATGGACCAAAACGTTCCAAATGCTGAAGGCTTGTTCTCTGCCTTTTATTGGAGCACAGCCTGCCATCGAACCAACCTGAATGCACCAGATAATGCTGCAGCTTTTTTAGAAAAATGTTTCCCATCAGTAAAATCACTAAGTAATACTCAAGTGCAAGAGCAAACATGACTGCAACTGTAGAAGAAATGGGTTAAAGAAATTGGTATGAAAAATAAATCTTCAGTTATTAATTGCATTAAAACAGTTCCATTCTGTCTGTGTATATGCAGTAAACCAATGCAAAACTGTATCCAGTTGTTGTTTCTTTTTTTTTTTTTTTTTTCCTTTCCCAGAGTTTTCAGAAATTCAGTGTGGTTTACTTTCTGTCTCCACTTTAGAAGGAGATTCAAGAGGCTTTAATATATAGCACAGCTAATTAATAAAACTTTAAAAAAATGAAATTCTTCAGGATAATGCTTAGCACTTAGTGCCGAGAGTGTACCAGGAACACAGTTTGAAAACTGATGTTCCTGGCATCTTATAAAAAGAAAATTCATATTTGCAAATTATGAAATGCCCCTGTCACATCTTAAATTTAGCAGTTGTAAAAGAGTCGGCTTCTTTGACAATATGTGTGGATGAACACATTTTTGATATTTATTATTTTCTTGGAAAGATTGCTAAAAGGAAGGGGAAATTGAAACAATTCCAATAGCTGCATAAAACTAAAATAAGAAAAAATCTGAAGTATGTATGATCATGCTGGTTATCTTTTCAAGAAATGTTTATTTAGAATTCTGAACCAATGGAACCCATTTCTTAGATTTTTTTTTAAGAAGAAGTAAATGCTATTGATGTTAAAATAAAAGGCTGTGTTCAAAGTTATAAAATACCTTAAATGTAATTATTATTTCCACTGTTAAACATAGATGTGAGAAAAATTAAGTGTTTTCTGCACTTGCAAGCAATTTAATTGGCAATTCTCAAAATAATACCACAAAATATAAGCGTAAAGCTCTCCCAAAACAAAATAAAAATCCCTTGACAAGGGACACATTTCTTAGTATTGTAAATTTATCTTGTGAAGAACGAATATCTAAATTTTCATCTTCAGCCCTTAACATTTTTCATTTTTGTGTGCTCCATTTTGTCAACATTCAATGTTTTTAACACATTTCTGCAGTGCAGAATTACATTATTTCATGTTTTGGAATCAATTATTTGTGATCTGGTTAAGGTATTATTTAATAATTAGGGAAACTGATTAGAATACTTTTCCATTATTTAGAAGGTATAAGTAATGAAAACTCAGGCATGTTTTTATATGTATGTGTTTTTGCATTATTTGCATTTAAGAAATAATAACTGAACTTTCAGATATTATTTAGCTACTATTTAAAGTAATTCATTATTAAAAAATATATTTTCTGTCTTCTTCAACTGTCTTTGTTTTCTAAATAGAAATTTAAAATTAATTTATTCTGTGTTAGAGGTGCAGCAGTCATTTTGATTCAAGCATGCTTTAGTCACTTTCTCGTCTATTATAGTACACTTCCTTTCAAGTTACTAAGTACTGTGTTCTATGTACCTAGATGCAAGTCAAAATTTATAAATTACTTACATGCAACTTTATAGAAAACTGCAGTTAATATTATTATATACTCACTCATATGTGCAAATATATGTGTGTGTGTGTGTGTATTATTTTATAAATTAATATCCTTTGGTTTTGTATTCCAAATTCATTTCAAAGGTGAATAAACAATAAACAGTAATGGTGACAGACACATGTAAATATTTTGCTTGAATGCAAGAAGTACAAGTCCTTGTGTCCATGTTTTAATTAGTGCATTTATAGCTTTTGCACACTTACAAACTGCAAATTTACATCTGTCACATATTGCTTAATTTGGGGGATTACCCTAGTATATTCTGCTTTTGCTGCATCATTTACGTATCAAATAGCTATGATATTAATAGTTAAGGTAACAATCTTATTAAAGATCTTTATTTTTCGCTACCGTATATTATAATCTAGAATAAACGTATGAATCTAAACTGTTGTTGATAAAGCACTTTTTGTGAGTTTTGTAGCTCTTTAAACTTAATTGCTGTGTTCAAACGTAGAAGGTTTGTCATTTCTCCATTCTCTTGAAAATGATCATAAATTCGTTGTATGGATGCAAGTTAGGATGTATCTGAAGTATCAGCAAATAATTAAGCTCTTAAAGGAATCCATACTACTTTTTGTATCCATTAATTATTTTTGGCTAGTTAAGCAGAGGTTTTCATTGTTGGTATGCAAATAGTGATGGACCGCCACCAGTAACGCAACAATGTAATCTGGACCCTACTTTTATTAATTTTGTTGTGAAATTTCGAGGCTACAAAAATGTTTTACAACATTCATTGCCCTGCCCCGAAAGCTACAATGCTTATGTCATATATAAATATATTCAACACTATTTTCATTCCTTTTATATTTGCATGTTTTTTTTTAAATCTTAGCTCTTGATATTACAGCTAAAAGTACAATTGTATTTTGAATACAAGTAACTTGAAAGTTTCTCTTTTAGCGAACGAGAAGTTAACTAAACCTGAGGAAAAAGAAATTTTCAAGAAAGATTTGGATGATATAGAAGATGCCCTAGAAAACATAGCAAATGAAAAAAAGAAATTACTTATTGAAAAGGAAGAAATTGAAGATCTAAAAGAAGAAATGGCAGACTATAAACAGGTGAGTATTAAAATATGTACTATGTTTTAAAAATTATTCTTTTTGAAAAAGCTATGAAGTGGCGAAAAATGTATATAAAATAAGTTGATTTCAGAATAAACTAGCATTTTCATAATTTACATTTTTTCCAAGTTATTTTTAGTACGCCACAAGAGGTTAAAATTATTGAATATTCTGTCCCTGCTTTGAAAGATAGCAGTGGTATTTAAGATAAAATTAACAACCTCTGAAACGTTTCTAAGGATGTTAATGTACATGAGTAAGAGAGATACGGTTGTTTTTTTCCCCTTATTTTGAAAATTACACTCTTTCATAATTCGTGATTTAATTTTTTTTTTAAATGCACTAAGTTGTGATTTCTCAAAAAAAAAGGTATTTTACAAACTTCCTACTAGAGTAATTTAAATTGTCTAATACATAAATGAAGCCAAAAAAATTGTGCATAGTGTTTGACCACCATTAACGGTACATTGGCTTTTGCTCTACTAAAAGACTTAGTAATGTTAGAAATCTGTGCCAGAGATGGATATCATACTAACTCAACAGTTCTTATATTTCCTTCTCAAACAGCATCTATCTGCTTTGTAAATAAATCATTCTGAAGATTCTATGTATGTTTTTTATCATCGGCATGGCTATCATTGTTGAACTGTGTCTGTTGCCTAAAATTTCATCACTAATTTGTAGAATTTGATTTAATGGCTATTGCAAGTCACCTAAAAATGTTGCATCAAGTTTTCATGCACCCAACAAAAACTTCAAATGACTAAGGACCAAAGCTTATTATTTACTCTGTTAATAATCCAAACCACAAAATATCCTAAGAAAAGCTTGCATTAATTGATACAAATTAACAGTCATCTAACTTCTTTTGAAATGTGGTTGAGGCGAATCCATGCCTGAAATTTTATTCTACCAATTAAACTCTTAATTCTATTTACTTGTGAAAGGGATCCTAAAGTCTCTAACAATGTCTCACTAACAAACTCATTTTCAGACTGAATTATTCAAGCACTGATTGGAGTTTATACAGCAGCATAATTTTTAATAATGAATTTGCAGTATTTTGCCTCACATATACATAATTAATTTTGTATAATCCTCTGGTTTGATTGATTTATTTTAATGAAAGCCAAGGATAGATAAGGAGGTATGCAATCTAAAGCTTAACTGTTAATGAAACTTAAAAAAGTTTGTCATATCTTTACACTGCTAGTCAAAAAACATTATACTCACTAATTAAAGTTTTCAACTAGGGTCTATAAATGTAATTTTTCATTTTTATTATCTGCTGCTGACATGTGTGCATTTTTTAGGCAGGGAATATGCCAGTTATTTGACTTGCAACATGGTGTGAAAAAGAAGTATGTTGAAATTTGGGTATATGATGTTTATTAAGGTTAATTTAGTTTTATCATATCTTTTATGGAGTTTATGCAACCTGTCTCAGGTATGTGCACGTGGTTTTGGAACCTCAAACAAGGCTGTTTAGGGGTGCTATTGGACCACATTTTTTGTTTATGCATTATGATGCTCATCTGCATCAAGCATCTCTGATGTCGGATCACATAAAAGCAGAAGTCCACTGCATCTTGTTCCTTTTCCAAATGAGCATGCAGGATTTTCCTTGTACATTGCTATTTTCCACTGTGCTTCAAAATTTCAAGGCACCCCTGTGTGCATACTGTAGAAAAATGCATGATAAAAATAATAAGTCTTTAGTAGTCTTAGCTAACAGTTGCAGTAAACTATCTGAGAAGAGTAACTTCTGTTTCACATGACTGGTTATGAAAATCTACAATTTAAATACTACATGTAGCTATTTAAGTCAATCATTAAGCTGCTTTGTAATTTAATCGCATGCATATGTGTGTCATCATCTTGGTTTAGTTTATGCTTGCCATCCATTAACTACTGTTTCTTGAGGCAATGAATTTTTAATTAGCTCAAACAAGCTATTCATAAAAAGTTCTAGAAGTTGCCAAATGTGTCTGTTTTATTTTTTAAATAGAAATAATGATCTGTAGGAATATGATTTTTTACTTAGCTAAGCTAATACATTTTATTACAGTATCTCAAGTTTAAATTTGTAGTTCCTTAAAATGTTAAAGGTTTCATTTATTTCATTCTGTATAAAGCCCTACAAATGATGACTACTGTAAGTCGTTTTGATTTATATACTTTATGGAATACATTTTCAAGCTGGCTTAGCATCATTTACAACACTTCTGCTAATCCAGTAAAAGGCATGAAAAGTAAATTTGGGCATCTTAGCAACTGAATCTTTTTCAGTTCGAGATATGCAAATGACAAGAAAGTTATATGCAGAATTAAGTCATTTAGAAGCAAAGTACACTGGTGAAATAAATTAAGAGAATTTGCATATTTTATCAAATTGCATGAAAAGAACGAATTGAAGGGGAAAACCACTGCTTCTAGATAAAAATGCAAATCTCGTACGGCAAATATGTAAGCGTACACATGTGTTTAAGCAGAGCCAGCAGAAAAACAGGCTTTATAAGCGCGTGGAGAATAAGATGAATTGCATTCGCTAGCACACCTCGGCGAATGTCTTGGTTATCTTGTAGCAATCGGTTAAATTCACATCGGAACAGTAAAAATGAGTAACCACCAACATTTAGATTAGGGGTCCTCAACCTTTCACGCCCGAGGGCTACATCAATAAATTCAAAGCCGGGCCCCGTGATACAGGGTGTGGAAAATAAAAGTGCCCCAGAGAATAGAGTTACTCTGTTTTCCGAGCCACTTTTATTTTCCCCACCCTATATATATACATCGGTTCTAAAAACTCAAATGGAAATCGAATTAAAATGATTTGCAACTTTTTTTAAGAAAAAAATGCATAAAGATAATTGTACAGAACAATGTTACAAAATGCATTTACAATTTTTTTAAAAAAACTTACACGACTACCGGGAAATGGTAGTTACTTTAGTTTTAATTTGAAATTTGACATCGTTTTTGCTTCATTTAAACTTCAATATCCTGTTTAATCTATGTTCTTCCATTTCGTAAAGTTTCCTCCAAATGTCTGTCTGTTTTGTTCTTCGTTTTAGGATTTTTCATTTTACTAAAAATGTTCACATATATAGGTACTGCCAAAGATAGAAGACATGAAGAGTGCATGTTTACGAATTCCTGGATACTTGTCTTCGGTCACATACTTCGAATAAAAATAAATGAATGTAGGATTTTCAAGAAACTTTCATTTTACTGCAGTCACACTGTAAATCTCTAAATTCAAATTGAAGTTCAGATTGAACACTTCCAACGTCTACTGGAAATGGCGAGGAGAATATTCTGACAAAAATTTCATTTTCACGAAAATCGAAAAATCTGCTTTTGAATTCCTCTTTCAAATTTGAAATGCATTGTTCATAATTATTTTAATTCCATGTTGTACAGTTCTTCACACAAACCATTACTTTTGGAAAGTGAGTGGAATTCTTATTTAGCAACTGACTTTCCCAGAATATTAATGTTTTCTCAAAAGCTTTCGCAAAGTAATAAAGATAATAGTAAGCGGTAGTTCAAATCATTGAGATGACCTGTAATATCAGCAAGGAATGCAAAGTTTCTCAACCATTTCTCATCACTGAAATCATGCATACATTTCTGTTTAGATTCCATGAATTGTTGAACTTCGCTCTTCAAAGAAAACAGGCACTGAAGAATCTTTCCTCGGCTCAACCAACATACTTCTGCCTAATACACAACATCACCATATTTAGCTTTCAAATCACTCAAGAACTGTTGAAATTGCTTGTGATTAAGTCCTTTAGACCGAATGAAATTAACCACTTTTACAACAACATTAATCACATGTTAAAAAGTTTGAGGTCTTCTTGCACAAATTTTTATTGGTAGATAATGCAGTGGCAAGTCATCATAGTGTTATTTCCACTTTCCTTCACATCAGATTTGAGCAATGTTACTCCTATTTTCTCTCCAGTCTTAGATTTAGCACCACCCGAGGTTATAGCAGATATATTACTGAAGTCAACATTACATTTATCCAAAGTTTCTGTGAGACTCAACTACAAATCTGTTCCTCATGCTGTACCTTCAAGTGCAACGAGGCTGGCTAATTCCTCTACAACTGTGAAGTCTCTATCAGTGCCACGAATAAAAATGCCTACTTGTGCAGTATCTGTTGTATCTGTTGATTCGTCCATCGCTACAGAATAAAACTTAATTTTTTTGCATTTGGAATTTAGCTTTGATTTTAATTCACTCACCTTATCATTTCAAAAATGACCTTCCAATGCAGAATATTTTTCACTCTGCTTAGTATCACAATGTTTCTTAAAGCTGTATTCCTTCATCACAGCTACACTGTCATTGCAAATAAGGCAAACTACATAAAATTGGTCATTTTCAGCAAATTTTATCTCGAATAATATCAGGCATGTCAATAAAATGTTTTAAATATCAAGAGAAAGAGGAAAACGATTATGACAAAAGGCTGACTAGGTAATTTTTCTTAAAATCTAAATTTCTTAAAATTTTTCAATTTTTTTCTTCAGATTTAAATGTGGGGCCACTAAAATGCCATATGCGGGCCACGGGTTGAAGACACCTAGTTTAGATGATGGAACGAGGTGGCGACTTGTGGGGAGGTTACAGGCAGGCCAGTCGCAAATCCAGATATGCAGAGAGTTTAATTTTTTGCTCGGCGTCATGTGTAAGCTATGGAAACAGTTCCAGGATACTGGATCCATCGAGATAAAGCCTGGGCCACGAGTCCAAGAGCCACGGCTGCCAGAGAAAATCTCTATTTGTCCATTTTAGCGAGGCATAAAGAGAGGGGCTACAGCTTCTCAGTTCTCTCGGGACCTGTATGCAGCCACAAGAACCTGTGTAACAAGAGTGAATGTTTCCAAAAGATTGAAGGCCCACCAGCAGCCGAGCGGTAAAAACGCTGAACACTGGTAGTTCAGTCCGAGGTTCCAATCTCGCGAACAGGCTGGCTGCATGGG